CTACAACAATTGGAATAGAATACAAACTCCTCCATCATCTATTTCAGTGAATCTTGTCTCTACCTAAGTCTCTGACTACTTTTAACTCCACGTATACCATCGCTCCCCGGAGTCCAGCACTCAGCTTCTTTCTGTTCCGAGTTTGTTCTACCTTTGACCTTCTGCCTGCATTGTTATTTGAGTTTGTCTTACTTGTTGGTTTGCTTGTTTATTTATTTATTTATTTTTGGCCGAGGCTGGGTTTGAACCCGTCACCTCCAGCATATGGGACTGGTGCCCTACCCTTTTGAGCCACAGGCGCTGCCCTGCTTGTTTGTTTTTTATTTGTCTTCCACCATTAGCACGGACCATTCATAACAGCAGAACTGTATCTATCTTATTACATTCCAATTCAGGAAAAAATAAAGGGACGGCTGAAAGAAAACACTGACTTCTCTGTTTTTAAAACTGTGTACAGGCTCGGCGTCTATAGCTCAACCGGCTAGGGCGCCAGCAACGTACACCTAAGGTGGTGGGTTCGAATCCCCAGCCTGGACCCGCCAAACAACAATGACGGCTGCAACCAAAAAATAGCCGGGCGTTGTGGCGGGCGCCTGTGGTCCCAGCTACTTGGGAGGCGGAGGCAGGAGACTCGCTTGAGCCCAGGAGTTGGAGGTTGCTGTGAGCTGTGATGCCACGGCACTCTACCCAGGGGGACAGCTTGAGGCTCTGTCTCAAAAAAACAAACAAACAAAAAAAAACAACAAAAAAAAACTGTGTACAGTTAGTGCCTTTCCAGTAACTTGTCCTTTCAGACATTGCAGAAGTTGGAATGATGGCTACAACAGAGGTATCTTTAAAAGGAAAAGGGTTCAGGGAAGAGAGGGTGGAGAGGTGATGATAAACTGTGTAGACGTCACACCCAGTCTTAAGTCTACATGCAACCGTCCAGTTATAAGACAGTAGAAATCAAAAATAGTTCTTGTTGAATATATTTTAGTTTAGAAAAAGTTAATATCACATTTGTCCACTGGATTATTTTCTGTTTATAAAAATTATTATTTAATTTCTCAATTAACAAGACATTAATTTTTCTCTGGTTATAAGATACCATATTTTTTAAATTATAATATATAAATGCACCATAAAATAGTATAATTGTTCCTGTTCCTGTTCCAAGGATTCTGTCCTGTTTTATGTGTAAAAGCAATTCTCAGTATTCCTGTTGATTTTTTTGAAAATCAAACATGTGGTCATTGTGATGACTGCTTCAGAATTTGATTTATTCTATTAATTTTATGTTCTTAAACGTATTCCATTTTTATTTGTAGTAACTTGGCATTTTGGATGAAATAGCTTCAGTGAAAGCATTATGATATACATGGGCCACTCTCGAGTAACCGTGATCTTAACTTCCAGCCAGGCCCCGACTGTCAGCACTCCATAGAACTTCTCTCGGCAGCTTGCGGGATCTCCCATTGCTGCAGCATCTGGCCCATCTCAGGTCTCATCCTGCTGAACTTCTCAGCAGCATTTGACTGCACTCAGCAGTTTCTCTGTCCTGAAATTCTTCCCTTGGCTTCTGAATTTCTTCGTCACCTCCTTCTTCATTTCTCTGACCAGCTGCTCTTCTTTCCACAGCACTCAGTGCTCAGCTATCCTGTTTATCAATATTCAGTGACCTCCACTGGCATACTCGTAAAAATCACTTACATGCTGATGATTTTCCTTAGTTATAGCTCTTTAGCCCATCTTTTTCTTAAGACAAGACTTGAATGAAAATTCTTTTTAAAAATAAATTTATACATTTAACAGATTCAAACAGAATCCTTGATTTTTACTCTAAAACCCAGTCTTCTTTGGGAGTTCCTCATCTCTTGGAATGGCAATGCCACTTACCCTATTCCTTGGGTCAAAAACTTTGGAATTACTTTTGATTTCCATCTCTTTTATGGCTTATTTCCAATTCATTACCAAATCTTGTCATACTTCCATTCAGAATATATATATATATATATATTTTTTTTTTTTTAAGAGACAGAGTCTCACTCTGTCACCCTCAGCAGAGTGCCATGGCCTCACAGCTCACAGCAACCTCCAGCTCTTAGGCTTAGGTGATTCTCTTGCCTCAGCTTCCCGAGGAGCTGGGAATACAGGCACATGCCACAATGCCCAGATATTTTTTGTTGCAGTTTGTCTGGGGCCAGGTTTGAACCCACCACCCTCAGTATAAGGGGCCAATGCCCTACCCACTGAGCCACAGGTACCACCCCTTTCAGAATATATCCTAAAAGGCCGACTTCTGAGAAACTCCACTGCTACCACGCTAGTCAAAAGCAAGCACATTGTCACCGAGGTCGAAACAACTGCCTGTCTGCTGTTCTCCCTGTGGTCCTCCTTGTAGTCTATTCTGTAACTTCTAGAGCAAAAGAGGCTTTTAAATATGTGAGCTCTTGACTTGATGCTATTAAAATACTTTAATGACTTGAATAATAATACTTTATGTTAGGATGAAGCTAAATGTCTTTCCATGGTTCTTGAGGCCCCACGTGAGCTGGTCCTTGTTCTGACAATGACTCTGTCATCCTGCTACCCGTCCGGCCCTGCATGCTCCTGGCTTCTGTGCCTCAATCATTGCGTCCTGTTATTTGAAAATGTCCACCATATGCTTCCTTCAGGGACTCGGCCTCTGTGCTCTCGTTCAGGGACTCGGCCTCTGTGCTCTCGGCCTCTCTCTCATTTAGTCACATCTTCACTCACGCGTCAGCACTTCAGAAAAGTGACTTCTCACGCTCTCTAACAGAGTAGCCTCGCTCACTCTACCTTCCTGCCCCATTCTGTTTTCTGCCCAGCATTTGTCATCAGCTCAAGTCATCTGTCAGCTTGTCCACCATGTGCCTTTCCTCCTACAGTACCAGCTTCACAAGCTCAAGGACTCATTTTTCTCATTGATCTGTCCCTGGCATTTAGCTCAGTGTCTGGTATTTAGTGGGCCTTTGTGAATATTTGTTGAATTAATGAATGCATGATTTATGTTTAGGAAGAGAAAAATTGTGCATGAATCTAAATCTTGTGTGATCTTTGCAGGACCTCACAGAGCCATGTCAATACGACAAGTCATGGTGGTTACGTGAATTTCACTCCACTATGGTGGGTAATGAAAGTGGTTCGGGATGACTGGCTATGTGAAGGAAGCATCATATGGATAAACAGGAGCCTACACCCGCACTTTTCTGCATACCAGATTATACTCTGTGGCTTTCTGAGAGTAAGCACACAGGGGACGTGTCTCCAGATATTGTGACTCAGAGGTTCAAAGTGAATATTCACTTATGTAGTTGTATTAGGTTGGGGTGCTCAAAAGCAGAGATTTAGATAGGAATTTGGCTATGTGTGATTTATTGTGAGAATGCTTGCAAGTGAAATCTATACAAAAGGGAGAAATACAGAAGGTGGAAGGTGAGGGAGCTGAGAAAGTGTGGTCCCAGGGAACCTGGCCTTGGCCTGATGCACACGGCAAAAGCTGTGCAGCATAAACATCACCATCAAGTTTCTCCCTTGAGACAAGGGACCAATGTCTGTCAGCCATTGTTCATGGACTGCCTAAATGTTGAGGAGCTAACTTTTCAAGAAATGTTGTTCCCCTTATGTAGGGCAATTCTCCAGAGGGGAAGCTGAGAACCACAGCAGTCAACACTCAAAGCAGCTGGGGATGGGACATTGGCCCAGTGAAGGGGACTGGGCAGATTACCACAGTGTCTCCACAGCTGTATAAAAAGGGGTTGACTGCAAAGCACATTCATTCATTCATTCCACAAATAGGCACTATGGCCTGTCATGGGCCAAATATGTACCACCACTTGCTTGGATTTACCTTATGAACAGACATGGCTCCTGAAGGACAGAGAGAGAGAAACAGGAATATCCATCAAATAAACGTGCATTCACGAGGAGATACACACTAAATTATCACCTCAAAGGATGAACTGAAGAAAGATTGTAGAAACAAGTTCACGATATTATATAGGTAGGGAACGGTTTCTTACCAGTGGTTCTTGCTATACTAATGAAGTGCATAAATTCTTACTGCAGTCATCATTATCTAATGCTAGATGCATGTTAAGGAAATGGTTATCAGGCATTATTTGAAATCTCAAATAGAATAAAAAATATGCTTCAGCTTGGAAATCATGTTGGTACAGGTCCTATAATAGATTATTCACAAAGTAAGATGACTTTTCTCTTAGTGGCAATTGAGGCAGAAGAAAAGTAAAAAGTAAAAATGTTAAATGCAAGTGTGGTCTTGGGTAAGATGCTAATTTTTTTTTGATCTTTTAAAAATTATTCCCCTAATTCCTATCCCTAACTGGCCAAGAAAGGCAAGAATAAGAACAAGAACCTTAGGAGAGGCAGAGATCTTGTTATCAAGGAATGTTCATGTCCACAGAGTAGTCCCCATCTCTAGTCCCTGCGGAGGCTAAAATTTCACTGAAGTCACTAAATTGATAGGAAATGTTCACCATTATAAGGACAGAATAATTATGTTTAGAAATTTAAGGAACAAAACCTCAACTGAATAAATAGATACTGTACAGATCAGTAGGTTTCAAGCAGAGTTTGAGAATTTGATATTGGAGATAAGACCTGCCAAGAAATTATAAAAGGAAAACTTGTTTTTGTACATCAAATTATTAGAAAGAAAGACACAAAAACATTTTTTTAACTGCTAATAATTGGATACCATGACAAGTCTACCGGTAGCTTCTGATTTTATCTAAAACTCTATTTTCATCTCTCTCTCTCCCTTTTTAATCTTTACATAGTGCTGTGGCAACTATTGTACCCATAAGCCTAATGGACAGCTTAATACATGTCAGTCAAACGTGGTGTTCTCAGCTCCTTTAACAAAGAACACAATTTCAGAGGAATACAATTCTGTTGCAGTGTCACTGAGACGTCTCTCAGCAGAGTATAGAGCCAGCATGAATGACATGGCCTGTTTCCAGTGATTCTGTTCATACCTCAAATCCCTGTGGCCTTCCCAGACTCTCTTTCACGTGTTTCCATGCTACAAGAATCTCTGACACAGACACACCTGTGGCTTTGACATCTGTGGGAGCAGCACTGGGTTCTGTATAAAGAAAAGCGAAAATAATAAACCATAATTATAACAAGTTACATCCGTCAAAATGCTGCACCTGAACACGTCAGGTGTTAACTTCCTTCCATCTCAGGTTTGAAGTGAATTTCCATGGTCACTATGAAAACACAGCAAGATAAAAAAGGACTGTTTTGTATTTCTATACTTGGGTAAATTCTCATCAATACCTTGCAAGTTACAAAAATTTTTATCTCTTGATTGGCTAGGATATTTCTGGAGAATTTATTTATTTATTTATTTTTGAGACAGAGTCTCACTTTGTTGCCCCCTGTAGAATGCAGTGTCATCATACCTCACAGCAACCACAAACTCTTGGGCTCAAGATCCTCTTGCTTCAGCCTCCCAAGTAGCTAGGACTACAGTCACCTGCCACAATGCTTGGCTATTTTTTAAAGACGAGGTCTCACTCTTGCTCAGACTGGTCAGGGCAATTCACCTGCGTCATCCTCCAGGAGTGCTAGGATTACAGGCGTGAGCCACCGTGCCCAGCCTGGAGAATTTAAATTATCTGACTTCAACCTCCGGTCTAGCATAATGTTTAAAAAATGGGCATTATTTTTAAAGTCAGGCTTGGCTTTTTAGTTACTGCTGTTGTGTTTTTTGCCTTTAAAATAGTATTTAGATATTCATTTACCTTATTTAGATAAGTTGTTTCACTTTTCTCTGAGCCTCCCTTATCTGTAGTATGACATAATGAAAATAACTTATCGCACAGATTTTTAAGGTTAGTTTTAAGTAGAATAATACATACAAAATGTTCAGTGCTGTGCGTGGCACTTAAAATTTTCATTCACAAAATGTCCTATTATTAGTAATTTTTATCCTGTGTAGGCATAAATAGGCTCTAACTTTCCTTAGATATATTTTGTCGTGCCAACCACAAACCGCATTTCCGTGATTGTATAAAGAACATGTTACGAATCCTGATATTTAAAAGGCACGCACTGACTTTTGAGGCAGGTGCCGGTGGAAAAGCACAGTCCCCAAAGGTCTCAGCGCTCTTGCTCAAAACCATTTTCATTTGTTTCTACACTTGGTGACCTTTCACACAATGTCTGACTGGCATCCATCAGGAAGTGCACTTGAGGTCACATTCCTTGTGAGGAACAAAATATTTCTAGCTTTGACATGGCTGAATCATAAATACGGTGTCACAAACACACGTTAAATGAAATGGCAGAATAAAGGCCATATATTAGTTCAAATAGTTCTGTACAAAATCTATAAAAAAAAATCTACTCTATAAAAAAGTGTAGAGACTTTGATACAAACCCCATATCACCAATAAGAGTTCAGATCAATCTGTTTGAATTTTTTTATTTTTAATTTTTAGATTCAAAGAACCGTATACCAAAGAGTTCTAAATAAGGTTGGTAAAAGGCAGACACTGCGGGAGTTCAAGCCCTTCCCCGACCCCTTTCCCTTTCTAATAGGAGACAGTCACTCATGCACCTGGAATGTTTTGTGGATTACTAATGAAAAAACATCAGTCAGAAACATCTATCCTGCTGCTGTTGCAAAGGAAGCCCACAAAATGCTTTTTCAAAGGTGCATGTTTATACCAAAAACTGACTTTATTTTGGTCAAGGCTTCGTTAAAATCACACGCTGTAATTAATTGTGTCATCTCTAAGCTCTTTGGCAAATTCCCATTAATTTTTACACAAAAGCTGGCATTATTTCCTGCCACGGTATAAATAGTGATTTCTCCTTTGTTACCCTTTGAATATTTTGTTATTTCTTTTTGCTTAGTGCTTTGTCTTATTTATACCACATTCCAACTGCCTAGTATTTGTGCATCTACCTGGTTTTAAAAAAAATGCCTTCTGGCAAATGCTTCTAGTTCTACTTTATTCTAAAATTCTGATTAACAGTCTTGCAACAGACATTTTCCCACATGACTATTTAAGAGGAGTTAAAATTCTTGATTTTTCAAGTAAATGAAAGGAAGTGCTGATGCATTTCAAGTTTCTAAATTTGATCTCTAGAATTTAGGATATAATTTATTTCAGAGGAAGCTGCATTTTGGATATCATGTGCTATTCGGTAGTGGTTTTGCTTCTCTTTAGAATAAATGCATTGCAGAGACTTGTGTACCAAATGCCTCCTTTCAGCCTTTATATAGCTGAAGCAATTACATCTTTGTCAAAGAAGGTTACAGGGGGATAAATAATTTCAGGAGTACAAAGCATGTGGTTGGGTAGTGGCCTCACTCTCTCTCTTTATCTCTAAAGAAAGGGATTATTTCTCTATCAGCTCTTGGTAGTAATGTACATGTTTAAGTATTTCTCAGAGAGGAAGTTAAAAGAAATTAAAGTAAATGAAAAATGTTCAGAAACCTACTTTCCAAACAAGTGCTTTAATTTCTATTTAGAAACTCTGAGGATTTCAAATCAGACATTTCACAGTTGCATTTTGGGGCCTGCACACTATAGATGCACATAATTTGATGCCGGCGAATGAATCAAACAAGAACTAAAGAGTCATTTTAATTTATTTCACCTTCTGAATCTGAATGGTATCAAAAGCAGATCATGCTGATCTGCCTTAGAGATTTCAACATGCGAAAAAAGCGACCTCAGTTTGTTCCGTAAGTGTTAGTGTGTCCTGTTTATAGTGGAGTGAACATTTACTAGAGGATCAGAAATCTGTCTGCAGACAGGAGGAACAGACTGGGTCATAGAAGATCTAGTCTGGGTTGGAGCTCACTGTTCTCTTTGGGTGTCCCATTGTAATGAATGGTGGAAGGTCATAGCTAGAAAGGACTTAGAAATCACTTGGATTCCTTGGCATATTATGCAGCCTTAAAGACAGATGGAGAGTTTACCTCTTATATGTTTAAATGGATGGAGCTAGAACATATTCTTCTTAGCAAAGTATCTCAAGAATGGAAGAAAAAGTATCCAATGTAGTCTTGCTAATGAAACCAATTTATAGCTTTCTTATGAAAGCTATAACCCAATTATAGCCCAAGAAGAAGGAGAAGGGGGAGAGGGAGAGGAGAGGAAGGGGGAGGATGGGTGGAGGGAGGGTGATTGGTGGGACCTCACCTACGGTGCATCTTACAAGGGTACATGTGAAATTTACTAGGTGTAGAATATAAATGTCTTAACACAATAACTAAGAAAATACTGTGAAGGCTATGTTAACCAGTTTGATGAAAACATTTCAAATTGTATATAAAACCAGCACATTGTACCCTATGATTGCATTAATGTACACAGCTATGATTTAATAAAAGAAAAAAAAAGAAATCACGTGGATCAAAATCCAGAAATGGATGGGCAGTGTGGCTTTATTCATGTTTTGTTGGTCCACATAATGTGTTAAATTAATTTAAGCCAACATTTAAAAATAGGAATTTCTTGCTTTTTTTAAAAAACAAAAGGAAGATACCAAGCCTGAATTCTTAAGCGCTGGCAATGAGGATTAGCAGTTGACTCCATCCGTCAAGGCATGTGCTTCTCAGTTGGTCAAAGTCCCCACCACTCCCTATTGTCTCACATGGAAAGTACTTATTTATATTTCTTACCTCACCCTTACAGGTTTTGTAGTTGTGGACCTATATTTTAAATCTATGCTCTCATTTTGCAGATGGGAAAAGTCACATGTACAAAGGTTGATTTATCCAAACTACAATTTTGGCTCTGAAAGAGCTCAACTAGAGTTCAGGTCTGAAGTGTTTTTCTCTGTTTTTAAACTGACACCAAGGAAGCAGCTAGCTCATTTTCCCTCTTACAGAGTCAATTATGAGGCACAATGAAAACGTGCAGTTCACTCTTTTGCTGTCTAAATTGCTTCCAAATAACTAACAGAGAAATGGGTAGAATAAAGTTAGAAACAAACAAGCAAAAAAGGGAAAAACAAAATAGATGAGAGAATAACTCAAAGTAGTAGTAACTGCCATGAAGAGAGAGAGTCTGCTGTGTTCCAAGCCCTGATCTTGGTTCTTTACACACACTAATCAGTCCTCCCAATAGACCTATTATCACTGTCACCATATTTATAGCTTTATAGAAATACAAAGAAGGGACGTGAGGTTAGGGAACTTGCCCTGGATCCTGCAGTGGCTTGATGCTGGTGGGGGGATCTGAGCACGGCAGTCAGGTCCTGGCCACACCATTCTGCTTCTGTGCTTCTGCCTGTGCTATGCACCTGATTCCTTTCCGTTCTTTTTTCCTTCTTCCCCTCCACAACTAACTTCTCTCCAGAGCATTGACATTGGCCTCCCTACTTGGACTTTCTACTTCTGAGTCTTGCCAGAAACCACCTAGACTTCCACGGTCACATTTAATTCCCTCGATTCCCATACCATAGATTCCTGGTGACTTTGGACCACAGCTGCACTGCTCTTCAGAGGTCCTGTCATATTCCTTTAGGCATCTCTGAAATGTGTCTCTAATTTGAGGATGTTTTCTGCCACTCTTAACTCCTGTCTATTACACTCTGATAATCTGATGAAAGTTCACGGAATTGTTTCTGAGACTACATTAATATTATTATGTCTAGTAGGCTCAAAAACTTAGAAAGATCTTTTTTCTTGTTATGATAATATTAATTAGGCCACGCTAACTCCTTCACTCTAATCTTGGGATATGAAGTGGGCAGGATGATTGATAGATTTGTTTCTGTTAGATTAAAAAATTTGAACAGCATTCCTATGATCATGAATTTAGATGATACATTTGTATTAAATGACCTAGCAGCTGGAGTTCTCCATGTAATATGGGGGGATGTGCTTGTAATATTGATTATACATCTGACTTCCCAGGAGGGGAGAGCAACAGCATTAATCAAAGGACAGTTTAATAAACTCCTTGGGAGAAGGGTTATGGTTTCATTATTTAAAAATTCAGTGCAGACAGCTGTAGTTGAACTTTTACAAGCACTAATCCAAATAGATCATCTGGCAAAGACAGGAAATTATTCCTTGCATTTTATAACTAATATGCCAATTTATTAATTTCCAAG